TCAGATAGAGCACTAATATCTAGGATATATAAAGAACTCAAAAAACTTAACACCCAAAAAACAAACAACCTAATCAATAAATGGGCTAAGAAACTGAACAGATACTTCTCAGAAGAAGATATACAATCGATCAATAAATATATGAAAAAATGTTCAACATCTCTACTAATTAGAGAAATGCAAATCAAAACTAATCTTTCATCTCACTCCAGTCAGAATGGCTACTATTAAGAATACAAGTAACAATAAGTGTTGGCAATGATGTGGAGGGAAAGTCACACTCATACTTTTCTGATGGCACTGCAAATTGGTGCAACCAGCCTGGAAAGCAATATGGAAATTCCTTATAAAACTTGAAATGGAATCACAATTTGACCCAGCTATCTCACTCCTCAGTTTATACCCAAAGAACTTAAAATCAGCATACTATATATATTAACGCAGCCACATAAATGTTTACAGCAGCTCAATTCACAATAGCTAACTGTGGAAGCAACCTAGATGCCCTTCAATAGATAAACTGTGGTATATATACACTATAGAATATTACTTGGCTTTAAAAGAGAATAAAATTATGGCATTTGCAGGTAAATGGATGGAATTGGAGAATATCATGCTAAGCAAAGAAAGCCAATCCCAAAAAAACAAAGCTGAATGTTCTCTCAGATAAGTAGATGCTGATCCATAATGTGGGGGGAAGGGGCATGGGAAAAATGTATCAAAAACTTTGATTGGGCAAGGGGGAGGGAGAAGAAGGGAGGAGGTATGGGCCTCCTATGGTGGAATGTGATGGACATTATTACACTATGCACATGTATGACTGTGCATATGGTGCAACACTACATAGTGTACAATCAGAAATGAAAAGTTGTGCTGCAATGTGGAGAATGAATCAAAATGCATTCTGTTGTCATATGTACCTAATTAAAATAAATAAATAACTTTTTTAAAAAAAGTTTTAATGCCTCCTGAATTACTAACATGAAATTGTTATATTTGATATTAGCTTCAAAATAATTTGGGATGGAGGTGAGAAGCAGACAGAGAATGATGAAACAAAATATCCATGTGATGATAGTTTCTGAATGGAGTTGCAGGTTTACAAAATTATTTTCACTTTTTAATATTTGGGGGATGTTCATAGTAAAAATATAAATAATACTACATAAACAAATACAGAATAAATTGAGTTTGAGTTTAAGGTCTCAGAGCTCACAGTCCATACTTCTGAATGAAAACACTTTCTCAGATATACAGAAAGCAGATAAGGGATTTTACAAGAATATTGAAGACTGATTTGTAGGAATTCCTTAGTGAACAGCCATGTTTTCTCCACACACAGAACACTGGTTTCTGAGCAAAGATAGGCTTTTTTTTTTCCTGAAAGTAGATAAGTCAATATGATGTGCCTGATTATCTTACTGAACACATGAAAAGACATAAAATGAGACACAAAATGTGGGTCCACAAATGTGGTTGTAGTTCTCCCTATTTTTAAATAAGACCAGTTTCTGAGAAACCTAATAGAGTATATGACTGCTCTCCTTTTAACAATATCTTTGCACATATAACCCATGCACTCCATTTGGCCATTCCTGTCTTTCCTGTTTGCCATTTATTGCTCTTAACTACAGTCTTCAATTCACATTTTTTTGGTTTTTAGTTTTGAGGTGAGGAAGAAGAATATTTGAAGATGTTCAAAAATTTCCTTCAAGTCAAATAAATCATTAGAAAGTACGTTTTATCCAGAATCTAGTTGTTTTGCAGTAGGAGGGGCATTCTAAGTAGCTTATCCAAGGTTTTTCCAAAAATAAACAAACAAAAACACTTCTCTTTCTTCTTATCTGAATCCTATCCATCCAAAAGGAGTTGACCAAGTCTAACAAATGTAGCTCCTATAGAGTAAATGCTGGGTCATCAATTTTTTTGTGTGGTGTACTGGGGATTGAAATCGGGTACTCAACCACTGAACCACATCCCTAGCCCTATTTTATATTTTATTTACAGACAGAGTCTCACAGAGTTGCTTATCGCCTCACTTTTGTTGGTGCTGACTTTGAACTCCAGATCCCCCTCCCTCAGCCTCCCAAGCTGCTAGGATTATGGGGATGTGGCACCGCGCACATCTGGGTCACCAATTTTAAAATATATTTTTCATGGTCTCTAGTTCAATGTCCTACTAGTAATCAGCATTCAATAAATGAATTGACTGATTTTTTTAATCAATGCAAATTTAAAATTTGTGATATAATTTTGTAAATCATTATTTTGCTTATAATATTACCATGCCACCATTACTATAAAAATACCAACATGCATCCTAATATTCACTTTCACTAAATGCCTAAAAAGGTCATAGGAGCAGATTTAAACTCTGATGTGTGTTTTGGGAGCAGAATCAGCTATGGAGAAACAAGGGTATTAAGCATTTATGTAGGCTGGTTACATTTTGAAAATTATTTGCAAGATTTATTACAGAAATTGTGACTAAACTTTTCAAAAATATTTATCATGATAGTTAGAACTTACACTACAGTATCTTTTTGATGTGATCATGTTTATAAAGGCCATTTTAAATTTTGCTACCCTAGGCTTATACAGCAATAATCTAATGTCTTTCTAACAATATTAAAAACATTTATCTCTGGGAAAATGTTGTAGAGAAATTCTAGTGCAATGATAATCCAAATACTTAAGTAAATGTAAAAAAATAATATTGTATTTCAGAACACCAAAGAATTGAATTTTTTTGAAAAGGGTATTTTAATTTCTCATGAAAGCAAAATATTACTTTCTGAAATTCAGTTGATCATATGACAATATTTCTTAAAATTCAACTAAATAATGTTGAAGTACATTTGTTCTTTAAGCATTAATGATTTGAGTTATAGTCCATGATACTGACATGCAGATAAGAAATAATTGACAACAGTATTATATCTATACAGATTTTAATCTCTCCACATTTAAAAATGTGATCTAGACTAGAATTATGTTGTCTGATATTATAGCCACCAGTCACAAGGAGGCTCTATAACTGTAATAAATTAAATATAAATAAAATTCCAATTTCAGTTGCTCTGTTGCACTAACCACATTTCAAATGCTTAACGGCTACATGTGGCTAGTTGTTAGCATTTTGAAAGTGTCCACATGCAACATGACCATCATCACAAAAAGTTCTACTGAACAATGTCAGTCCACAGTAGAGAGACCAGTTACTGATGAATGGAATCTCAAGAGTGTGTGTGTGTGTGTGTGTGTGTGTGTGTGTGTGTGTGTGTAAAGAATTTTCCCTTTAGTGTAAGAGGTTGAATTGAATCTATCAAATTTAAATGATTTTTCTAGAAAAATTATATTCTGATGTAAATAGTTATAGCTGTGCCCCAAGCATTTCAGTATAGATTTTTTTTTTCTTCTTGCATGAGAATGATTCCATTTCCTCAAGATAGTGAATTATACCATTAGTCAGTCTTTTCTTCAATTAGTGCTTTCTTTCATTTTAAAGCTCTATTCTAACCCTTCCCTGCTTCCAACTTCGGCCAGCAATAGTTCAACTTCTATTTTGCAGCAAGGAATTCCTATTTTAGATAGCAGCATGTCAGGCCTCGGACTCCATACTTGGGAAGTTTGTAACTAGCATGACTTCCTTGTCTCATATTTTTATTGGGTTCAGAGGTTTTTATGCCCTTCAGATGTTCCATCAAATTGTGTAGCCTAACGCAACTTCTTATCTCTCAATTCAGAAAGGTGCATTTTTGTAACATATAAAAAGAATCATGGAAATGTATAAAGAATGCAATTTGATATAGTTATGTGATAAACAAACTCTGTTCCTGCAGTTAGAGATTGAACATAAAGGGTCCCAAAAACCGTAAGTAAGATTCTCTCTATCATTTATGCTTTCACTAGGAACTACACTGCAGAGGAAAACTGGAAAGACACATGTAACAAAAAACAGATGAAAATATTATAAAAAACACACAAACCACAGGGCATTTAAAGGCAATTCTCAAAACCCCCAGTGAAAAGTAATATGGCTATCTGTATTTAAAAGACCAGATAAATCAAATGGCAAATCTAGAAGGGAGAAAAGAAATTCTAAATTACTTGAACATAAAGAAAAAATTAAGTATTTTCATGAAAAAGTATATAAATAATCATGAATAATCACATCCTAGTGAAAATAATTTGATTTTATAGGTAGATAGTACAAATATGAAAAAGATAATGATTCCAGATAAGGAAATATTTTAGTACAAATTTCAAATATTTTAGTAAAGGGTCTTTCTCCAGAGTGACAATGTGTTGCTTGGAAACTAAACTTCCACATTAGATTTTATAGCTTCTGAAAATAAATTTGAACCTTGAAATAACCTATAGAAATGTACATTAATTTGGAGGGAAAAAAAAGAAAGAAAATAATACACCAGCCTCCCAACCCTTTTCCCAAATATATATTTGCATTTTGGTAATTATACTTTCTTTCAAGATTCTCTGTGGAGTTTAAATAGATAACCACATCTCAGTTCACATGCTTACTCCTCGAGAAGCCTAAAACCAAATTAATTGCTATTACTGTTTACCAGTAAGATATTCTTTTCTGACCAATTTTTTCTTCATTTTTGAAACTTAAAAAATGTTTTATTACACTTAGGAAACTAATCCTGGCACAAGGCCTCTGAAACATGGTTTTTCAGACACTAATGGGTCTTGGAAAAGTTTGAAACTCTCAATTCATTAAAACTTTGAGTAGCTGTTTTGTACCTAAGAATGAGAATTGATGGAGAGGTTGGGACTAAACACATAATTTTATGAAATATGATGAAAACATAAGGGTTTTGTTATGACGCACATAACAATCAAGAACCTGTTTCTTTTTAGCAAGCTCCTAAAAAATACCTCCCGTATAATTATTAAATAAAAACACTCACTCATTCAGTACTCAGCTAGCTTTTAAACTCTGAATAAGAGAAGTACACAGTGAGAGAGGTACTTACATGGTTTCCTTGGATACTGGATGATGCTATTCAGGTCTATGTTTTTATCTGAAAGTGGTGCCCTGCGGAGAAATGAGGCTTGGTGAGTGGCTGTTTATACATAGTAAGTAAATAGGAACTTTGTTTATTTTACAAAGCATTTTTTATTTTGACCCAGATTTCTTTTACTCATCACACCCAACCCTTGTAAACAGCAATAATAGGGTAGAACAGGTATTCTGTACAACTCTTTTTAACTCCACTTAAGAAATCATAATTATCAAGGCAGAAGCTCAGAATGCTTTGGCTAAGAATGTTACTCCTTAGGCTGCTTTATATATCTTGACTACTATATTTATTTCAGACATATTACTGAGTGTTGCCTGCCTCTCTAGTTGCCTCCACAAGGACTTTTTCCAAAGCTACCAATAGAGAAATTCATCAGAAAATTTCACATAAATGATAAATGTCCTTACCTTAACCAATGAATAAGAGAACCCTAGCTTTAGCCAGCTTCCAACTACCAGGGATTTCCACAGACATGAATTGCCATGTCAAGTGCTGCAGGGGAAGCCTAGATTCCCAATAGTTTAAGTGCTATGAGCACACAATTTCCACACTCGGTCTTACAGAGCTACATGCTTTCTAATTTTGGTAGCATGATTAATCCCTCCTATGTGATAAGTTTTAACCTTCTAATATTTCTTTGGATTGAGAAGAACAAATGAGCTACAGCAAAGAATTGCAACTAACTTTAATGCTTAACACAATTTAATAACCTGAAATGAAGTAAGTGTGTGCTATGTTTCCATTAAAAAGTTTCCAGCCACAATTAATTGAACAAAAACTTGTCTTGTTCCAAGATTATTCTTGGAAATGTAATTTTAAAGCCTGTGTGAAATGAGGAAACTTACTTTTTTATACCATATGAAAGCAATTTCATTTTTTAGGAATGATTTTTGGATAGACTTCCGATTGGATATTTTCCATTGGAACTAGTAGTGGAGGGGCTTTGGAGGGGGGGAGGGGAGGAAAGTAATTCTGTGTTCTTTTGCCAGCACTGACAAAGGTCTGGTTGTCAATGATACCTTTACAGCTAAATTTACTCCAGAGTGACATGAACAGGTGCACCTCGGCCTGCCAGACACTTGTGCAGAGAGATCACGCATCTCGCGGCTTGACGATCAGGGGGCTAAGCCTCGGTCTTCATAGAAAAGGAGAGGAGGCAAGCGCAGCCCAAACTGGGGGGTTTCTCTTCAAAGCCAGCTGGTCTGGCTTTATTCTACAGGAATTTTTTACCTGTCAGAGTTTGGACAACAAAGCCCTCAGCAGGTGCTGACGGGTACAACTTCCTGGAGAAGCAGAAAGGCACTGGTGAGTTTCAATTGCCAAATTATATATTTTTAATCTCTAAAAATTGATTTTGTTATCTTCAAGAAGCCTTGCTGTGGTCCCTACATTCACAGAGCTGATGAGACCATTGGAATCAGAGCCAACTAACTCAACAGTGGGTTTGCCTTCTGTACAAAATAGAACTGCTACTATTTGATAATTTTTAATTTAAAAAATTATAAAAAATAATTTGTACTTTTAATATTGGTCTCTCATTACTGTCTTCAATGTCAGAAAAATGAAGAGTTAATTACATATAATATTTGCCTTTTAATCTTTTTTAAAATCTAATTTTGTCATAATCTTTTTTGAATAAAATGGTGTTTCCCAATAATTCTCCAAAATTAAAGTATGAAATGGTACATACTCTTTTCAAAACTTCCATGTGCTGGGCTTTTTAATGCGTGCATGTTATAGAAATATTATTAAAGATAATAAGGAATTAATTTAAACACATTTTAAAAACATATTACACAGATAATTTAATATTTAAAAGTAATCACATTTTCTCATTACTTTACAAAGAGTTTTTGTTTTTTAGTTTGTTTTAGAGGAAAGTCTTTGAATAAACAAATAAGACAGTACTAAAACATGTTTTTACGTCATTGATATCCAAAATTAGTACATTTATATATTTGGTATTTTTGTTTTGTGAATTCAAAAGTTTAAGCAAAAAAAATTTTTTTTTCAGAATAGGATTTTAATTAATGGAAAAATGAGACCACATGTTAGGACATATTTTTAAAAAGTGATTCTATTTCAAGGACTCATTCTTTTAACTATGCTTCACAGCATTTCTCTACAAATTGTTGTATTATAGCAAATTGAAAACATTTATTTAAGCAAGTAAGCAGCTCAAAGCTAGAGACTATACATAGTAAACATATGAAACCATTTTAATAACTAAATTCCATATTCGTAAGCAACATGGGCTAATGAATGTAAAAGACATAACAGCATACATTGATCAAGAATGCTATAAATTATTATGCATAAAATCAATTTTCTGGGCTGTGGGGGGTAGAATTAGTACTTAAGAAGAAAAAGGCTCCTACCAATATAAATTACTAAGACTATGAGACAATTGTTTTATTCTGATGATCCCATAAATTATTTCCAATCTACATGCTTAATACATTATTTGTATAGTAGGAAAAAGAAATAAAATCTGACTTTTGTTAATGACTATTGTATCTAAAACAAAACTAAATCAATGATTTAGATATGACAACAATTTATAAATATCATTCTCTTTTAAAGTGGCTTAATTGTTTTTTAAAATCATGAAATATTTGTGATTTAAAAGTAATCAGCAATGGTTCACCCGCCAAAAATTCAATATTTTAAAAATATAGTCTTATCTAAAAACACTTTAATGAACTCATATTTTAAAAATTAAGACCCAAATTTTCTTTTTATTATAAATTATTACAAGTAAAACAAACTTTGAATAATTAAGATATTTTATTTTAAAGTATACATATATAGTGTTTCAAACTGTTATTTTCATGTGATATTTTGTCATGTTTCATTATATTTACTTGGATACTTGAGTAGCCATAGTCACTGAATGTTTTTATCTAACCTCATTAGTCTCTTAAAGAATGAGTATGTATTTCATGCACTTGAAAATTTTTTTCTAGTGTGTTAGATACTACTTTCCAAATGAATCAGAACACTTTTTTTTTAAGAGATAATAACTAATTACTGAAAAACTGAACAACTTACATTCTTAGGTCAACTTCAAAATTATATTTGTTAAGTTTTCATGTGCATTAGTATTCACTATAATTATCACATTGTTTGTCATTATCACCAAGGATAAACAATACAAAAGCTTCTATCAAACTATTGTTTATGACTCTGTCAATTTCTTAAGGGCAAGAGAATCTATTAGAAACAATGTTAGTTAGATATAGTTCAAATATCCAAAATGATTAAAATTCACATTTTAATTGTGTCATCAGTTGTGGACTCAGTCTAAAATCCCATAATTCTTTTCTTTTAATTATGAGAAATCATAAATCTTTGTTCAACATGAGTTTGTCCTTTCTAATAAATCTTTGACATTGTGTTACAAAAATACTCATGCCAAATCCCTCAATGTATCAAAATAGTTTCCTTTAATAATTTTTACTAAGAAATTTCTACTTAAAATGACGGTGACTCATACCTGCCATAAAACTTGAATTTTAAAATGTATGTATCCTAAGCATTATTTGCAATATACACATCTTCAAGATACTTTATTTGCAGTGGGGGCAAAGTAATCATTCTCTTGCCTCAAAAACAAAACACCATATAAAACTGTTTTGTTTATTTTATGTATTCAAATGGAAAATCCAGATTCTTCCAGCAATTAATTTTATAAATTATGTTGCAAATATCTATTTAATTTTAGTACAATGGAGCTTCCAGTTAAAGTAGTTTACTCGTAATTATTTAAAGAAACAAAAATGTTTTGGCAACTTTAGATGTATATCCTCATTGACCAGACACCTGACTGACAGCTGTCAACTGTCTGTGGGCCAAATGTAACCCAGTAAAGATAAAAATTACATATTACTCATCCCCGTTGATAATACCTGGTGCCAGTAAGTTTTCAAATAAGAATAATTAGACTATAGACTAAAAGAAATAAAAGGGGAATAATTTCTACTGCCTACCAGTCTTCCTTTGTCATTAACTCATTTTACCTTTTTTTTCTCAGTTAACCCATTTTTCTCCTTGTCCATATGTATATCACATTTACGAAAAGTTCATTTCCTTAAAGGAATTTTCAGAGGGTGCAACATGTCTGTGTCCATGAAATACTAGCCATGCATGTAATGATGCCCACACATATCTTTGAATTATATTTTCTTTTGAATTTATGAAATCTTTAGGAGTCATGAGAAGGAAGTTCTAAAGTTTTAACTTCTCATTTTTAAAAAAATGAAATTAACCAAAAATCTCTGATATGGGTATTTAGATGCACCCTAGGGCCTGTCCCCCAACTTCATATTCAGTGATATTTCTTTCATTTGACTTAAGAATTTGGACACTCAAACTACAAGTTTGGACACTAACATATTACATTCTTTTCAATAACATTTTTCAGTTACTAGTCAATACCTTATTAGAGAAATATACACTCTGCCAGAGAACATTAAAATATAGTTATAAAAAATAAAAACATAAGCACATAAAACATCTGTGCTACAAACTCCTTTAGTTCTCTTTACCATTTAAATAAAGATTTAAACCTGTACATATTTACAAGGTATATGCAATAACAGAAATAAAAATAATCAATAGCAACATATATGTTTAAATGATGAAAGTAGAAATCAAATGTTCAAGTTGGAATTTTTTTCTTGAAAAATCAAGGAATAATTTAAAATACTAAATAAACTAACACACAAGCATGTCTACAGTATTCAAGTACAGGATATCTTAAACGGTTCATATAACTGACTTAACCAACTAGCTTAGTATCTGTGTGTAAATGTGTATGTGTGTGTTTGTGTGTGTGTGTGTGAGGGCACCCATTAATTACCAAATCTTATGAGATATCAGACCCCTCATCAGCAAGATGTCCTAAAAAACTTAGAAAACCTACCATTCAATAATCCTCTATTTATAAAGTATCTGATATTTGTCCAAATAATTACCAATAATATTAATTTTTTTTTGTATTTATAAAATTTGTTGATAATTCTGTACTGGTTTACTCAAGGTTATGAAAATAGTAATATACAAGAGTGTATTTCATTGTTTTCTGGCCCTTCAGAGAAGAAATTCTTCAAATAAAATCCATCATATTCTGAATTTTAAAGAATTTATCTTAACCCTGGGCTTTGGAGCAGCATTTTCCAGTGAGAAGTACAAATTAATAAGAAAAAAGGGGAGGGAGGGTTTAAAATAATGCTATACAATATGAGAGGAAATTGTAGTTTCCTTGCAAGGAATTGATCAAAAATAATCAACAATTTTATGACTAATAACACCATTTAACAACTAAATGATGTAACTAACTTTAAAAATGTATTTGCTTATTCCATTAGATCTATTTCAAATCAACATTAGGCATCAACCAGCAAACCATTTAACAATATGAGATGTTGTATGATTATGCAAACAATTATGAGCAAAATAGTCAGTAAATAATACCCACTTCTAACTATTGTGAAAGACAGGGTGTCAAGGCAAAACATGCAAAATCCCAAGAATTTCAAGTAAGTTTTATCTTGAAGGAGTTTTAGTGAAAGTAGTGACTTGCCCCTTGCCTGCTTTTGAAGGATTATAAGTGTTTTCTCTTTAGAGCTGAAGAATGCCGCCCAAAAGCATCAGAGCAGAAATAGGATCATTTGCGTCTTAGTCTCTGTTTCACTGCTAAGTAATTTTGTGACTGAAAACAAGTCACTTAACCTTTATGTGGCAACCAAATGGATGGGACTTTTTGCTTAGTAATAAAGGAACCATGGGAAAGGAGATTTTAGCTATCCAATAGAAAGTAATTTCTCTGCTTCATTTGAGTAGGTCCCAAAAGGAGTCTGGACCATTATTGGTGGGTTCCTATATGTAATGGCATGTCCCCTCCTCTCCATATTCCTACAAGTAGCCCATCAAACCAGCATTCCAAATAACTGAAGCAAATAAAATATAGCCTATGAAGTCAGTGGGTAAAACAAAATCACTGAAGAACACTACAGACAAACAGGCCATATTTTTTTCCCATTTGGATACCCTAGTAATATAAAGATTTCACCCCCAAAATTCTATTATCACACAGCTGGGAATATGGATTAGTCAGTTGTCTGCTAGGGTAATGTTATGAAGGCCCTTGTGATTGCTCAGCAAATTAGGTAATT